GATACGATTGGACGAACTCATGCGACGACACCGCTGATAGCGAGGTGCGGACTTCAGCGGGCGACGGTTGCAGTGATCTGGCAATCAAGGTGCATGCAGTGGATGCTCTGGATATGTTTGTGCAGCGAGCGCCGTTGGTTGATTTCCAGAACTACATAGATGACACAGGTATCCACCTCTCCTCCAGTGACTACGACATTGCGAAGGGAGCGGCGATAGAGAGCATGAAGCATTTCGAGGACGCCAGCCGCTCTCTCAATGCAGGTCTCAACCCAGCCAAGCTTTCCATCATGGCGACGCCCAGGGATCTTGCTCGTGGCGTTTGTGAATCCGTAGGGCTGCCGCCCAGTGTATGCAAACCCAGCGCGGCATATCTTGGCATAGATGAGTCTGCGGGAGCCAGGAGACGCGGACAGCATGCTCGACTGAAACAGCGAGGGCGTTTCACTTTAATGCGCAAAATATTTCGAGAGGTTCGAGCTCTCCGAAGGCGTTTTAAGGGACCCAAAGAGACCCCCTTCAGAAAGGTTGCCCGTCAAGGAGCTGCCCCTGCCTGCAGTTTCGGGGTGGAAGTCTCGGGTCTCGCGGCCTCGGAGTGGCTCAGTCTCAGGAGATTAATGGCCCGCAGCAATAGCCCGAGTCATGGAGGGGTGTCGTTGAGGGCCAAGGTTGCCCTTTTCGGGGGCAGTAGTGGTAGATTAGCCGCGGCGCCAGCGATCCCATGGCGTCGAATGATATGGACCGCTTCGCGGCGTCCCGCACTGTCGTTAGTTTCGCGAGCGGAGCTTCTCAGGCTCTGGGATCGATCCAAGCCTGTTGAGTGTGATTCGTGGAATAGATCCCAGGGCCCGGTAGCTCGAGCAGTTCTATGTCTCAAGAGGGCTGGTTGGCGAGCGGATGGCCCCTTGAAGTGGTTTGACCACAATGGCCTTGAGGTCGAATTAGAGACCACCCCACCGCCCCTCCTCATGGACATGATGGAGCAAGGTTTGCAGCGTCAGCGTGAGTTAGACCTGGCGAGGCACCTAGGCTTTCCTGAAGGTTCTCGTGCGACCCTGGACCTCCTGAGGGACACGGTAGCACCGAAAGCCAAGAGATATACGCGATACCATAAGTATTTAATCCAAACATGCGGATGTGGTGGACTGGACGAACGATAGGGCGATGCGTGCGAGTTACGTGTGTGACGGGTTGCGTGAGTGCGGTCAACCGGACACAGCCCACCACAGGTTATATAGTTGCCAGCTCCCTCGTGTTGTCGAAGCGCGCGAATCTTCTGAGGTGCATGGCACTTTCCTCAACGCTGCTCGTGATAACCCTGACCTGCCAATGTTTACGAGTGGTGTTCACGTATATGCTGACAGTGAGCTGCCCTGCCCTTTGGTTTCGTCTGAGGTTTACTTGTTCGATAGGGTACGATAGGGAGGGCAACGCACTGGACATGCAGCCTGAAGAGATAGCGAGTTTGACCCGTTTAGCGCCGCTGCGTTTGGCTTCTGACGGTTCCAGCAGTAGGCCACTGATTCGGCCACTGCAGCGTGCTGCCTGGGCTGTGGCTGTGTGTCCTGATGCTGGAGAGGATCCTGTGGCGATCGTCAAAGGCGTAGTCCCAGGGTCCTTGCCGCAAACACAAGCTATGGCGGAGCAGGTAGGGATTGCGATGTGTGGGCAGATCGCCACGCGACCAGCAGAGCTCGGAGCTGATTGCACGGCGGCCATGCGCCTCGCTCAGAAGGATGTAGATGCCCAGCTTGCGCTGTCAAGCAAGTTTGCAGGCATTCGAGTTGTTGCACAGCAGCTCGAGGGCACGGCCATGATTCGCACGATCCGCCATGTCAAGGCCCATCGAGAGCGAGAGCATATAGAATCCCTAGAAGGGGTCGAGCGGATGTTTGCCGAAGCCAACGCGGCGGCGGATCGTCATGCCAAAGACGGACTCAGTTTGCATCCCAGTCCCTCGCCAGCCTTCTCACAAGAGCTGGATTTTGCAGGCGAGAGGGCTGGGCACTTCATGAAGCTTGCAAGTGCGGTGCTCCCCCTTTTTGAGAATGAAGTTCGGTGGGAGAGGCCTCATCGAATAGCCTCTGGGAGATCACGGCGAAAGACGTCGTGGCACAAGTGGGAGCACGGCCCACTTGGCACTCAATGTACGCTATGTTTTCGAGTGCTCAATTGCCCAGAGAACGAAGCGCCCATGGATGGATGCCCTGGGCTGCCGCATTTTCTCAAGAAGCTTCTCCAATATCACATGGGGCACACTCTTGTTGCCATGTCGGGGACGTTGGCTCGGCAAGCTGGAGGTGTTTCGGTGTCGCGTCGTGATGCGTCCAAGGAGCAAATATTGTGCCTTCGTTGCGGGGGTTGGTCCCAGGGGAGGGGGATCAAGCTCAGTCGGAGTTGTGTGGCCCCCACGCGTAAAGGGTTAGACGTCTTGGCTGAGTATCGGAAGGGTCATTGTCCGAACCCGAGAGTTCGGGCGTTCGTTGATCGTGCGGTTCCCTTAAAGAGGCTGCGCCTCTCCGCCGACCCTCCGTGTCAGGACGCCCCCACCGTGGTGAGGACTTCCCACTCCAGTACTGATGCGGCCCCTCCCTATGAGCAACGTATGGCTGCTTTGTTCGAACGAATTCGTGTAAAGGAGTTGGCCAGAGAGGCCCAATCTAAGGGATAAGTTTTGGTCCTCACCTCAGGTGTAGGTAATATCCCAGTCTGTTTGTGCCAGTATGATCACTTGCATATTTAGTGCTGTGCGCTCCCCCGTCCGCGGGCACTTCCGTTCCGTTCCGTTCCTTCCCCCTCACCTCCCCCCCTCGCCCCCCTCTCCCTGCCCTCGCCCTCCCCTCCTGGCCTCCCCCTCCCCTCCCCCCTTCCTCCGCCTCGCTCTTCTCCTCGCTCGCCCCCCTCCCCTCGCCTCGCCCCCGCCTCGCCTCCCCCCCCTTTGCCTCGCCCTCCCCCTCCCCCTTCCCCCCTTCGCGATTCCCTTCCCCTCCCCTTCCTCGCCCTCCCACCCCCCCTTGCGATTCCTTGTCCCTCCTCCGACAGGGCGAGGCGCGGAGGTCGCGGCCGGGGCAGCGCCACCTGCCACTGCAGCCCACGCGGCGCCGCATAACGCGGCGGCGCGCCCCTGCTTCTCCCGGCCCGCGCCCGGCCGGGTGAGCGGCCCGACGAGCCAGCCACCCAGAGCCCCTCGCGCTGTGCTCGAGATCGCGACGGGAGGTTTGCCGCTGTGTTCGGCCTCGGGGGGGACGTTGCCGGGCCTCGGGGCCGCCAACAGAAGGACGCAGGACGGAAAAACGATCCCGGGGAAGGGGTCCAGACCTCTCTCACCGCCCACCGAACCACCTCAACCGAGATCCCGAATGCCCAGATTTGTCCTCCATTTCCAGTGTGGGGGTGCCGGGAAATATGGACAAAGGCACATATGAAGCACGCGCCTCCCCGTCCAACCCGAAATTCAGGTCTTCGGGTTGGGTTGGGGTGGTCTGGTAGGTAGTCACTCTCGGGGTCGACGCTCTGAAAAAATCACGACGTCGAGGGTCTCAGGAGGCCGTCTGGGGTCGGTATACATCTGGATCGGCACGCCTGAATCGGTCCTTCTGGTCTCGGGAGGCTCTCCAGCAGCCGCGCCTCGCCGGGGGCCTTTTCCCGGGGAGGCTCAGATCGTCCCCCCGCCAGGAGGAGGAGGGGGAGGAGGAGGAGGAGCAGGAGGAGGAGAAAGCCCATTTGGCCTCTGCTGGGCGGGGGCCCGATCTGGGTCGCGTCGGGGTCGGTCGATCGATCCTTCGCGCGATCGCCCGCGATCGGGCCGCCCAGGAGGCCAGGCTCACGCGAGCCGCTCGGCGCCCCTGGAGGGTGAGGCATTCCGTGCCCTGACAGCCTCCCCCCGGGGCCCCATTGGTGGCCGCGCCGATGCAGGGCTGCTTGGTGACGGACGAGATGTGTGCCTTGAGGGACCCTCAGCGGCACCACGCACAATACATCATGCAGTCCAAAACTAAGCGCAGGTCAGTGAGGAGGCAGCGGCTGGTGGCCTTCAGACAGGCCGTCTTCGACCTCCTTCTCCCTGCATGGAGCGGTTGGGAATGCTGGACCACAGACGCCGAACATAGCCTTAAAGAAGAACGGGCCGATTTCCATCAAGAAGGAAGAGCGAACGCAGAGACAAATGGCAGCAGGCACTGATGAAGCCCTACGGAAAAGCCACCTTGCGAGAAGCGGGAGGCGACGCACGAGCCTGACGCCGTCAGCTACGGCGCAGAGGCCACGCCGAAGCCACCGTACGAGAAGCGGGAGGCGAAGCACGAACCCGAAACCGTCAGCTACAGCGCAGAGGCAACGAGGAAGCCACAGTGAGAGCAGCTGGAGGTCAAGCACGAGCGAGCCCTACGACGTCAGCCACAGTGCAGAGGCCACGGAAAAAACACCCACAGCCACCCTGCGAGATGCGGGAGACAAAGCAAAAACCCGACACCGATAGCTACAGCATAGAGGCTACGACGAAGTCGCTTTGCCAGAAGCGGGAGGCGAAGCACGAACCCGATGCCGTCAGCTACGCTGCAGATGTCAGGACGAAGCCACCGTGCGAGAGGCGGGAGGCGAAACGCGAGCCCGACGCCGCCAGCTACAATGCAGAGACCCAGACGACACCACATTGCAAGACGATAGATGCGAAGCTAGGGCCCGACGCCGACAGCTACAGTACAGCGCAGAGGTCACGAGGAAGCCACCTTGCGAGAAACGGGAGGCAAAGCACGAGCCCGATGCCGTCAGCTACAGTGCAGAGGCCACGACGAAACCACCGTGCAAGAGACGGGAGGCGAAGCTTGAGCCCGACGCCGTCAGCTGCGACGACGGGCCCTTGTCGCGTGAAGCGTTGCAGGAACACGCGCGAGAAATGCCTGACGAATTTGAGCGCGCGCAAAGCGAGAAACATCGTGCTGCAAAGAAGGGCGTCCAGCCGATGTCAGCTACAACCAGAGACATGCGAGTGCGAGAAGAGACAGCGCGAGTGGGCAGTGGCGCTCAGCAGATACACCCGACGTCATAAGCTACGGACGGGGAAGCTCGCGTGCTAGATGAGACGGCAGGGAAAGCGGGCACCACGAGGCTGGACGCCTAGACATCATTAGCTACGGCCTGGGACTCATGCGTGCGAGCATGCAACAGGGAAGAGGCACTGGCAGCATGCAGCGCGGCGAGGGTATGGGATACAGGCTTGCGGGAAGGGGCGTCATCAGCTGCAGGCTGGGACGCATACGTGCAACAAAACAATATTATGCGGGAGGGCCAAGAAACAAGCCAGAATATGAGCGCGCGAGTTTTACTTAACAGCGAAGATTGATAGGTTTCTAGCTGAGGCTGGGGCTGAGGCCCCCAGCGCCGCCAGTGACTATTGGGAATGCACCACTGAGGCTGAGGCTGAGGCCCCCAGCGCCGCCAGTGACTATGGGGAACGCACCACTGAGGCTGAGGCTGAGGCCCCCAGCGCCGCCAGTGACTATGGGGAATCCGCCACTGAGGCTGGTGATGCTGCCCCCAGCGCCGCCAGTGACTATGGGGAATCCACCGCTGAGGCTGAGGCTGAGGCTGAGGCTGAGGCTGAGGCTGAGGCTGAGGCTGAGGCTGAGGCTGAGGCTGAGGCAGGCTCAAGCTGAGGCTGAGGCTGAGGTTGAGGCTGAGGCTGAGGCTAAAGCAGGCTGAGGCTGAGGCAGGCTGAGGCTGAGGCAGGCTGACGCAGGCTGAGGCTGAGGCAGGCTGAGGCTGATGCTGAGGTTGAGGCTGAGGCTGAGGTTGAGGCTGAGGCTGAGGCAGACGCTGAGGCAGGCTGATGCTGAGGCAGGCTGAGGCTGAGGCTGAGGCTGATGCACGCTGAGGCTGAGGCAGGCTGATGCTGAGGCAGGCTGAGGCTGAGGCTGAGGCTGATGCAGGCTGAGGCTGCGGCAGGCCGAGGCTGAGGCCGAGGCTGAAGGCAGACTGAGGCTGAGGCTGAAGCAGGCTGAGACTGAAGCTGAGGCAGGCTGGGGCTGAGGCAGGCTGAGGCTGAGGCTGAGGCTGTGACTGCGACTGCCGTTGCCACTGCGACTGTCATCGCGAATGCGACTACGACTGCGAGAACAGCAGAATTTTACAAGTGGATTATCATCTGAATCTTAAGGGGAATGCTTCCAGATATGCTCCTACACATCGCAATTAGGCTGCTTTGCCGGGATATTTTTTAGAACAAAAAATCACCTGATGCACCTGAGCGTCTGTCATCAGCTACGGCCTGGGACTCCAGCGCGCGAGAACAAAAAGCGCCAACATGCAGCTGCGGAAGGCAGGAAACGCAAACCCACTCTGCTGCAGTTCGGGGTACACGAATGCGAGAAGAGATGGCAGTGGCTGCGGGCGAACGGCTGGGCACCCAGACGTCATCAGCTACACGTTCGTCTGCGGCTACTCTCGGAGGGGACACCTGGGTGCGAGAGGACGGCAGTGGCAGCTGCGGCCACTGGAGCAGCGGCGAGAAGGGGTACGTACGCAGTGGCGAACAACGGCCACTGCAGCATTCCAGGCGGCAGGCATTTGCCCACCCAACGCGGCAGCCTTCGCCTCCATGGCCGCCGACGAGTTCCCATCCCAGCCCGCATCGAGGCGATTCTCGCTGGTGCCACAGCCAGCGTCACCTGGTTCGATGCCGACGAGGGCGACTCGTCCGAGCACGACGACACCTACGGCCAGTGCCAGACCGAAGAAGACACCGTGAGCAGCCCCAGGACTACTCCTACCAGGAGGCTTCCGACGGCTACCAGCACGAGTACGGCGGCGGCGCGAGACAGCCTGCGAGATGCAGCAGGCCGCGGCGTGAGGCAGCCAGCGAGACGCAGGGTCTCGTTCGACCTGCGCGACAACGGCGACGGGAACAAGACCAACAGGCCCAGGAGCACTCCCACGGTTGCTACCACAACGGCCCCCACGACGAGGCGAAGGAGGACGAGTGCGGCGATCACTTGGACTTCGTCCTCTGAGCGGCCACGGTCCGTTGTGACCATGGGGCCGATACCTGAAGGACCTGGAAGAGGAGGAGGAGGAGGAGGAGGAGGAGGAGGAGGAGGAGGAGGAGGAGGAGGAGAAAAACGAGAATGAGAACGAGGAGGAGAAGGCGGGGAGAAGGAGGAGCAGGAACATCAAGAGGAGGATGAGGAGGAGGGGGGAGGAGGAGGAGGAGGAGGAGGAGGAGGAGGAGGAGGAACAGGATCAGGAGCAGGAGCAGGAGCAGGAGCAGGAGCTGGAGTGGTAGTGTCACAGAGTGTGCGTGTCCGCCAGCGGTGTCTTAGCAGGAGGAGGATCAGGAACAGTAGCAGGAGGGGTGACATGAGCAGGAGGAGCCGGAGGACCGGAGGAGCAGGAGAGGGAGGACATACGCGTCGAGGCCGTCTGGAGCCAGCACGATCGGAAAAGGAACAGAAAGAGTGGGACTAAGACCGGCAAGAGTTCTTGCTCGTTGTGAGCTGCCCTCGGTGTCGGCGTCGCCGCGGGCGTTGTTCGTCTGAGATAGAAAAGTCGCCTGCCCAACGGCGGCCGCTGTCGGTTTTAAGTCGTGCCCAGTTTGCCATAATTACACATGTCGGGCGTGCCAGCGAAATTGCAAGTGAAGGAGGGATGAGGAGGGGCAAGACGGTGTAAAGTCAAGGTTCGAGGGCGTTTTCTTTGGTTTTCCGCGGGGTTCCAGCTTTGGGATGGTTTCCAGTTCCAGCAGCTGCGCCTCTCCAAGGGCGTCCCGCGGGTGTCCGAACCGCCACGAACAGCCGACGGAGACCCGAGCTATGATCCGAAAGCGAGGGGAGGAGGAGGAGGAGGAGGAGGAGGAGGAGGAGGAGGAGGAGGGAGGAGACCAGTGTAAACCCAAGACGCATCAACGATGTTGCAAGAACCAAGCCCCCCGGTCCAAGTTCCCTCCTCATAGTTTCCTAAGTTAGCTTGTCCTCACTGCAGGAAGCGCCGCATTGAAAGGCAGCTGTTTGAGAACCCGAAGCCGTGCCAAAGCACAAGTCCTGAAACTCCAACTGTGCAAAACAAGATGAGTTGCGCCCCGACAATCATAAATCGCGCCAGAAATCAATTCGTGGGACATCCACACCGCGGACCAATTTGACGGTTGCGTCCTGACAGTCCTATATCTTGCCAGAATACACAAATTCTGAGATGTCAGCCTCACGAACCTTTGACAGCGCTTTGAAGTTTTATGACGAACGCGCACGAGGCTACATGTTGAAAACCACCAGCCCACCATCCATGAAACATCTGCACACATTTATGACGACTGCGCGCGGCGCTCAGGCGAGAGCCACATTTAAAAAGCCACCCGCCTTCCTTTTCTGGAACATATTGCAAACTTCAACACGAATGCGCGCGGCGCTTAGGCGAGAGCCACATTTGAAAACCACCCGCCCTCTGGAAGGCTCAGGCGAAACTCCAGGTCCGCTTTACCGACACGTTTGGGGGTGCGATAGGGGGAGTTGTTGATAAGGAAAAGATGCGGAAGAGGACGATGGTGATGATGCTGATGTTGATGCTGATGATGCTGAATATTACGATGATGATGATGTTGTTGATGATGATGCTGATGATGATGACGATGATGATGATGATGCTGCTGCTGATGATGATGATGACCATGATGGTGATGATGACGCTGATGATGCTGATGATGCTGAGGATGACGATGCTGATGATGATGTTGAGGATGGTGATGATGGTGATGATGATGGTGATTCTGATGACGATGATGATGCCGATGATGATGAGGAGGAGGATGATGATGTTGTTGATGATGATGCTGCTGATAATGATGAGGATGGTGAGAAGGAGGAGGAGGAGGAGGAGGAGGAGGAGGTGGAGGAGGAGGAGGAGGAAAGGGAGGAGGAGGAGGAGGAGGAGGAGGAGGAGGAGGAGGAGGAGGGGTCTTCGACCTTCGGCAGGCGAGCACGAGGGCGAGGAGGGGGGCCGCTCGGCAGCACGGAGCGGGCAGCGCGCCGCCCGCGGCCGCGGCGGCCGCGTGCCCTCGAAAAGCGCGAGGGCCCGAGCCCCGCCTTCGACGGCTGGGCGCTGCCCGCCGTCGGAGGTCGTCGAGGTCGTCGTCGCCGTCGCCGTCGCCGTCGTCGCCGTCGTAGTCGCCGTCGCCGCCGTCGTCGTCGTCGCCGTCGCCGTCGTCGTCGTCGTCGCTGTCGTCGTCGCCGTCGCCGTCGTCGTCGTCGTCGTCGTCGTCGTCAACCGCGACGGGGCCGAGCAGAGGCTGGCCCCTCGCCCTCGGCGGAGGCTGGCCGGAGGGGCGGTGGGGCGCCCCACTCGGGCGGGGCGGGGACGGAGACGAGTCCGATGTCAGCCTCGTCCTGGCTTCGTCTCGCCCACGGGGGCCTCGCCCCCTCGACGAGGTCCAGAGGCCGAGGGGTGGGCGCAGGCGGGCCCTCCGAGAGAGAGAGAGAGGGGGGAGACCCAGACCCCAATCTCCTCCTCCTCCTCCTCCTCCTCCTCCTCCTCCTCCTCCTTCTCCTCTCCTCTCCTCCTCCTCCTTCTCCTTCTCCTTCTCCTCCTCCTCCTCCTTCTCCTCCTTCTCCTCCTCCTCCTCCATTATTTTCTCCCCTTCGACCGTCTCCAGTCACAGCGGGGGCCCTCGCTGAAGGAGAGCTCGCAGAACGAGCCCTTCCATGACAGAGGGGGTCACTATTCGTGCCCTTCCAGGACGGAAGGGGGGCACAGAAACCAATTGTCACGTTATCCCCGCTTGTGGATACGTATTTTTGGATTCCCAGATCCCAGTCTACTTCAGGCACCTTCCTGCCTCAAGATTCGGTATGCTTCTCTTGTTTGCGTTATGCTTTCGGCGGGCCCGAGTCCAACCTGCTCGACTCGCCTTCCTGCTTCATGGTTCCGCTTGCTTCTTCCGACAGCGGGTAAACCGATTCCTATCCTCATCTCCATCCCATCCCGAGCCCCAACTTCCATCCCACCATCCAGTTGTAGATCCGTGTGCCCCTCGAAACCCGCGGGGGCCTATATCCCCATCCAGAGTCTAGAAGGGTAAATCGGCCAGTGGGGCCCAGGCCACACCAGCAGGGGTAGGGATCGGTTGAACGATGCTGATGCACGCCGTGGAGATATCCCAGAGGACTGTCTTTGACCACGCTCGGCCCCTGGGGGGCCTCACGGGGCCCTGGGACCGTCCAACAACGAGTCGGGGTGAGAAGCCCGTCCGGGGGGCGAAGGAGAAGGGGCCAGCGATGGCCGCACGAGAACGGCGGAGCCTGCGCTGCTGCTCTCCCTGTGTTTTCCGAGCACGAGGTCGTCCACAGGGGCCGCGGCGTCGGGGGGGAGGAGGGGTTCGCGGAGAGGGAGGGAGGTCCACGCCTGGGCGCCCAGGGGCCGAGGGGCTCCAGGGGGCCTCGGGCAATTGCAGCCCCAGCTTCGGGAGAGCACCCTCTGACTTGGCGCACCGCGCTCCCGAGGTGGCGCGTCTCGACGGGCGCACCTCGGAGGGGGCAAGGAGGAGGAGGAGGAGGCGGAGGAAGAGGCGGAGTAGGAGGAGGAGGAGGAGGCGGAGGAGGAGGCGGAGGAGGAGGAGGAGGAGGAGGAGGAGGAGGAGGAGGATGGAGGAGGTTGAATTGGGCAGGGACGGGAAGGGAAAATCTTACATCTGATGCTTCCTTCCTTACTTCGTGCAGCTGGACTCCAGATCCAGCTACTATCATGCCAGCCCGCACGGACCAGCCTAAGCATGTTTACCTCACGTTAAGCTTCCTCTGCACCTACTCCTAGAGCCGCCTGTATATTCTACCTTTTCTGCCATTACACTTCCCTTTTTTGCCACGCCACAACTTGCCTAGTTCTACTAAGGAGATTGGGGAGTATGATTTGGTGGGGGAGGTATGGAGGGATCCTCAAGGTACCACCAGGCTTAGCTGATGTCTAGCGTCGCCTGCGCTGCTATGTTTTATGATACTCTTTAGCTCCGACGCCGCGTGCCTGCCTCTCGGAGCCCTCTTGGGGCTCGTTAGGGATCTTGGGGTTGGGCTGTCTTAGGGCCCTCTTGGGGCCCTCTGGGAGCTCTCTTGGGGGCTTCCTGTGAGCCCTGGAGAGCCTCTTGGGGCTATCGTGGGGGGCGTCGGTATCAAGCGAGTGGTCCTCACGTTTGGTCCCCCCCTCTGGGGCACTCGAAATCGCTCCTTAGGGAATGGCTGATTCACAGGCGGCGCCAGCGCGAATCGTGACGTGACCAGGGGGTGAATAGGGGGCCGTGGCCGGTAACGACAACGACGACGACGACGACGACGACGACGACGACGGCGACGACGACGACGACGACGACGAATAATGAAGTCCATGGGCACCTGGCGCAACGACGACGACGACGACGACGACGAGGAGGTGGCGCGCGCCCCGGCTGGCGCACCTCGGAGGCAGGCCAGCCAGCCCACACCCCGCCTTCTCGGAACTCCGAAGACAAGGCGCACTGGCGCAAGCACACATGTCCGAGGCAGGGACCTGCAGGGGCATCGATAGGAAGGCCCGTGGGAAGGCTCAGAGAGCGCTCAAGAGTTGGGGTGGGATGCTCTGAGAAGGCAGCGGCGCCCGAGACATCTTTCAGAGCCGCCAGATCTCTAGATGTTCTCGATTTCTCCTCACCCGAGTTGATCCTCGTCCTGACTTTGTCTCGCATCTCGGGAGCGAGGAGGAGGATCGTGGTCAGGTGCAACGATCGGCGATGCATCCCCCCCATGCCAGTCCCCATCCTATCTTTGCCTCTCAAGCTTACGTAGCCCCAACCACCGCCTGGGGGGTCGACCTTCGGGGACGTCGGCGGGCGGTGGACCCTCAGACCTGGGCGTGGCAGTTTTTGTCACACCGGGCGTCTGCGTCAGTATTCGGGCCCAGGGACCCTCACAGATCGATCCTGTTCGAAAAATGACGCACAAAGATGGGGTCCAGGACTCAGGTCGTGATTTCTTGCGATCTCGGATTTTTCGCAACGTCGGATCTCAAGGGATATGGATCGATTCGGGCCTTGGAGGCCAAGTATGTGCATATCCACCGCCCGCAGGGGTCCCAGAACGTCGGTTTCACGGGCGGTGGACATGGAAATGGATATGGATATGGATACGGATATGGATATATATATATATATGCATATATATATATACACATATAATCATATATATATATAGATATAGATGTATATCTATATATATATATAGATATATACATATATATATATATATATATAGATATCCCCGCCTCGCAACAGAAGCTCTTGGGAGGTCCTTGCAGGCTTCTTGGATCGGCGGTTGGCCCCCTTCCCCTGGCGCGCGGGGGGCCCGGCGCCGACCCGAGAAGTCCGCGCCGGCCTCCGACGGCGTGTGCTGATTTCTGCTCCTCGAGGCGAGGGCCCGGGACCTCCGGACCATCTGGCGGCCCTCGCCTCCTGGGGCCCGCGCAGGAGAGGAGGAGGGGGAGGAGGAGGAGGAGGAGGAGGAGGAGGAGGAGGAGGAGGAGACCCTGGAGCGCATCGTTGTCCAGCGGCCGTGGGCCCCGAGCTGGATCGGGTCGCGAGATCGGATCGGGTCGGATGCGAGGGTTCCTCTTTTTCGGGGTCTCCTGGAGCTGTCCATGGCCTTGGAGCCGGACCCCCGGCCGCTTCCAACCCTGGCCCAAGGCGTCCCCAGACTTCGATCCAACCTGGAGCCCCCGGGGGCCCTCTGCGGTCGCGCGGGGCGCTCTGGAGACCGAGGGGGGCTCCCTGGAAGTCCTGGGGGCACCTTTTTGTCTTCTTTCCACGAGATAACAGCGGAGCTGACCAGCGACTCGAGGATCGGGGCCCCTCGACAGCCCCCCGACCTCGATCCACGAGGATCCTCCATCCTCGATCGTCGAGGATCGGTCCTCAATCCTCGAGGGTCGAGCCTTGATCCTCGAGGATCGAGGCCACCCTCCAGGCGACGGAGATTATGCAAAGGCGAGATGCTCATGTCGCGAGATACCTGGTGCCCCCTGGGCCTCTGGGCCCCTGTGGGCCTCGCGAGGGGCGCTCCGGAGGCCGCGGGGGCCTCCCTGGCAATCCTGGGAGCGCCCTGGGCCCAGGGCACCTCTGGCAACACCCCGGGCGTGTCCCAGACGTGCGGTGTCCTCATTTTTGCCAACACGGGGCCCCCGGAAGTCCCGACCCATTTCGCAGGCCTCGAGGTTGACACCAACACCAATATCGGCGGTGTGCCTCCACCGAGGGAGGAAGATCCCGATCTCGGTGATGGTGGTAATATTCTGGCTTCCAAGGTGGCCGAAATATTGCCACCAACACCGAAATCTAGGATCATCGTCCCCCTGCGGAGGCAACCCCCTGTGTAAGTGTTGGTGCCAATTTCTAGGCCGCCAACCATTCCCTGTGGCGGGTTTTTCATCCCGAGTCGCTTTCTGACGGTCCTGGGGCCCAGCGAGGGCCCCGAGAGGCCGAACACGGCCAAACATGTCCTGTCGCGATGTTTGTCATGACGCAGCCGCGTCTGCGGTGGATTCTTCTTGCTCTTGCGAGCTGGCCATGCACGGAATTAGCCAGGCGCTGTGCGCTGGTTGCGCTCTCCTGCTGTGCTGTGCCCCCCTGCCTTCGGGCGCGCCGTCGGGGCGAATTTCCGTCTCACAAGCCAAGCGGCACAGCACTTTTTCCAGGAGCTGGCACTTGATGCGTAGGTTTCGAGCTTTAGACGCTGAAGCAGGAGAGAGAGAGAGAGAGAGATGGAGAGTGAACGAGAGAGAGAGAGAGAGAAACAGAGATGGAGAGAGAGAGAGGCACACACAGAAAGAGACAGAGAGGCAGAGGGATATCTCTACATACATGCCTCAGAGAGAAAGAGAAGCATATATATCATAAAACGTGTTCACAGAGAGTTGGAACAGCGAGAGAGAGAGAGAGAGAGAGAGACAAAGACAGAGACAGGGACAGAAGGGGCGTGTGTGTTTGTGTGTGAGTGTGTTGGTGCTCTCACATCGCCCTCCTGTGCATGTTTCGCATTCTC